AAAGACACATTTTCCTTCCCATGAAGTAACGTAGTTTCCAAATGTTCAAATTCATCAGGAAGGGATGACAACAACATCAAAGTCAAATCTTCATCTTCAAATTTTACATCTAAATTTAACAGGTCTGCTACTAATTGATTAAACATAGTGATGTGTTCATTCATAATAGTACCTGGTTGGTAATCGAATCGGAACAATCTTTTCTTCATTAGGAGTTTATTCTGACCACTCTTTTTCAGAAATTTTCCCTCCAATGCCTTCCACAATTTCCATGCAGAAGTCTCGTTCTTGAAAGCATATTTTTGCTCTTTGGATAAACACGATCGAATAGTTCCGCTTGCCAACCGATTTATGGTACCCACTCCTTCTCTTCTATGTCATATGGTTTCTTTTCTTCAATGGCAATGTCAAGACCCTGTTGGAAAAGGGAGTCCATGACTTCGCCTTGCCACATGTCGAAATGGCTAGTACCGTCAAATGTCTCCACTGCCACCTTCAAACTTGACATTGGAATTCTCGACCATGTGGACGAGAAAGCCGATGCCTCAGATATAATTCTTGACGTGAAATTGTCAGATGCCATTACAGATTCAAATGATAGTATTCAATATAACAAATTACAAATAAGCCAAAAGACGAACCTTCAACTCTGATACCACTTGTTGGGGAAATCGGGTAATTTCCCACTCAAAATATAACTAGTGATTAAACCGATTTAGTAATTCCCAGGAAAGATCGTCGAAACAATCTCCTTAGACAGAATTACCATTTCAAGTAAATTTCCAGGAAAGGCTGGAGGGGTCACAAGCGGTCCCACTTAAAACCCAATCTCCTAAACAGAACTTACGTGCACGGTGTATTATCACAATTATACCCGTGTATACATAAATAATACGTACACACGAATAAGAAAAATACACCCAAATGAATCGTATAAAACACTACAAATAAACCCGACAAATATAAACAAATATATTGAATACTATATTACAACAGAAAAAGAAACTACTAAATAAATGCGGAACAAATAAAAGAGATATGGAAAGAACGCACCCGAAAAATTGATAACGGAGTTCGCCAATTTTGCCTAATCTCCGAGCACCGCTCAAGCGACCTGCTTTTATAATTTAGGAGAGAAGAAAGAATACAAAGAATTACAAAATCCTTATGGGTAATTCTTTGTTGTTCTTGGTACAATTCAATTGGAAGGCTTGAGAGCTATTTATAGCTCTCAAGCAATCCTACAACTCCTAAAACAACCAATGTGGGATTAAGAATTAAGCCACCAATTTCAACAATTGTTGGCTTGTAAAAGTAAACAATTGAGGCTTTGAATTCAAGGTTTTGAATTCAACACTAGTGCCTTTTCACATAAGTACAAAATCATTCGTAGGGACCATACTCCAAAACTTAAAATCTTGCATGCAGACTCAAAGCAGTGGAAACATTCAGGTAAATCGTGTCCACATCAAATGACGTACAAAAGGTGACTTAAGACGACATCATCAGCCATGCTCTGACAATATTAAAAAATAATTTGCCCAAATTTGTTGATTAGCAGAACTCAGAAAAGGATGGAATCTCAATGAGCCTTAATCACCACCAAAATGAAACTTGAAATATGGTGTTGTTGTACGGTCAGTTGGTTACTGAATTTGGTTAAAAAGGATTAGTATTAGTTTTCACTTTTAACTTTACTATGATGCATGCTCGACAGGAATTAATGTTTGCGACAGTCGATAATCCATCAAATGCTGTGGAATGGGCATTAGCAGAGATGCTAAATCAACCTGAAATGCTTCAAAAAGCCACAGAAGAGCTAGACGCCGTGGTTGGAAAGGATAGGCTTGTTCAAGAATCTGACCTTCCGAGGCTGAAATATGTGAAGGCCTGCGTAAAAGAGTCCTTTCGGCTGCATCCATTAGCACCCTTTAATGTTCCTCATGTATCTACTCAGGACACCGTCGTTGGAGGCTACCTCATCCCGAAAGGTAGCCATGTTATCCTCAGCCGTCCAGGACTTGGCCGTAATCCTCGAATCTGGGAGGATCCGCTGAAGTACAAGCCTGAGCGCCACATGAAGGATATGGAGGATGCTAGAATGGATCTCAACGATCCAGAATTAACTATGTTTTCCTTCAGCACCGGAAGGCGTGGATGTCCAGGAGTCCTTTTGGGTTCCACGCTCACTGTGATGTTGCTGGCCAGACTTCTTCAATGCTTTAGCTGGAAGATTCCATCTGGTCATTCGCAAATCGATTTAGCAGAGTGCGAGGATGCTGGCTTCCTTTCCAAACCTCTCGTTGCAGTTGCTGAACCACGATTCCCACAGCCCAACTAGGATCGCGATGCTTTTCATGATTTACCTGCTTATGTATCATCTTCTCGTGTCTACTCTCCCTATCCTGTTATTAGTGTCATCTTTTCACTTTTGTGACGTTGCAAAATAAGCGTCACATCTAAAATCATTAAATGCTTTCCTTTTTTCCTATTTAAAGATGCAACTTTTACGGTTCCTAATGAACTTCTACTAAGTGTAGCCAATTCTGCAAAAATTCTTGCTTGACTTGTGATGTGAAATCCAAATATTCGTAATCGAGGTTTCTGAATTAAGTTTTTGTCCAATAGTTTAGCTCGGAACTACTACAAGTAGTTATGTATTTCTAAAATAGTCTGGTTGGCATATCGATTCCTTCAGGCCATTTTGCTCTGAAAATAAGATTTTACCATTGTTACAAGGAAATAATGGATGTTGCTATGGTATGTTCAGAGTCAGAGAAGAGGTGTGGAAAGTTAAAAGAGGTGGTAATAGTGTCTCATAAGCTGGCAAAATTTGCCATTAGCTTGTCTGAGGAAATTAGTTGGAAGGAGTCCTTTCCAATCTGGCTTACTAGTTTAGCCACAATTGATGTAAGAGCAGTTGCTCAAACAATGTAATCCTTACTTTGATTAATGAAATTTGTTACCGATTGGAAAAAAAAAAAAGTTATCCAACTTTTATAAATTTGAATAATTATGAAGAGAAAATAAATGTCATTTCCATGCTAAAAGAAATGGTGATAATGAACTGAAATTGAAATATAACCTGTAAGCTATACACATACAAAATTAATAGATAAATAAAAATATACAGTTTACAGACACAGAATATATATATAATACAACAAGAAAATGAAGAAAACTTGTTGCTTGCCGAAGATGTCTTTTAGTTGTTGATCTAGTCAACAGGCTCCTGAGTCACGCTTCCGAATGTGCGCAAACTCAAAGCTATTATAGTTGAACAACAAAGACTATTTGATTATTGTAACCCCAAATAGAACAAGACAATGTTCGTTAAGGAATCCAGTCAACCGGCAACACCTTTGTGTTTGTCTATACTAATTACTAATATAAGTTTCATATTTGTATCTATTAATGCAATGTGTACTATGTAATGTAATTGTTAATGGGATTAATCTTGTATATCTAACAGTCTATGTATATCTAAAGATTAATGGGATTAATCTTGTATATCTAACAGTCTATTTGTATCTATGCGCCAACAAGCATGGATGCATATTACATGTGTCAAAATGAAAGTTTAAATTCAACTAAATTGAGATTATGCACATTTATCCATGCCACTAATATATACATTATCATAATGTATATAAAATTAAGGGATTTTTTAATGGCTGTGCATACTAACAATTATTATCCTGTATTGTATTTATATGCTTTCCTTATTTAATCTTCCTACCCTTGCTTGTATATATTTTCTTTCCCTAATTAATTTTACATGTCTCAAAAATATGACATCTGAGATATATTTTAACGGGCACCCATTAGATAGATCCTAAAATTAATCTTAATTAATTAATAGAAACGAAGAAATTGTTATATCTCTAACTTTCTGCTTACAAAGGAAGAATCATCAAAATGCACATCCAAAGATATCACTAATTACCTTCTGGATGACTAGTACTAGATTATGTTATATTACATGTGACATAAAAACTTGCCAAATGAACTACTTGCCTAATGTTGGTTTAAAAACTATTTTCAACATGAACTATTCCCTTGCTTTCTCGGAGGGCTGCTACAAAGAGTCTTTGATAACAACCAATTACAATATTTTACTTACACTTGATTTAGTATATTAATAGAGGCACATATGCATGGCAATTATACAGTACCCCACACGGTTTGATTATCGCAGTTTTAAACAACTTATGACACAGTATCGTAATTGGTGTTTTTCAGACTATATTAAAAAGTGGTGATTGAAATTCACCAGTTAACCGAATTTTGATGGTTGTCCACAACATAGAAATTAGTACAGCAAAATTAATTATTAACCCTCGGAAGGTCACAGATAAAGGTGTATTGTCTTTATGGCTCACTTTAAGTGGGTGCATTGAACCAAGCAAGCGGATATATGGACCAAGAAAGGGCCTACATTTGGGGAGAAGATTTATGAAAGGTGGGATTTTTAGAAAAATGAGGACATTTATGCACTTGGTTTTGGTGCCAGATAACTTGTCGGATATATATTTATTTTTAAAGCAGTAACTAATTTCTTTTCAAGGATGTTTGTGCTGAAAAAGGAGAAACGTATTATTTCCTTGTAACAATGGTAAAATCTTATTTTCAGAGCAAAATGGCCTGAAGGAATCGATATGCCAACCAGACTATTTTAGAAATACATAACTACTTGTAGTAGTTCCGAGCTAAACTATTGGACAAAACTTAATTCAGAAACCTCGATTACGAATATTTGGATTTCACATCACAAGTCAAGCAAGAATTTTTGCAGAATTGGCTACACTTAGTAGAAGTTCATTAGGAACCGTAAAAGTTGTATCTTTAAATAGGAAAAAAGGAAAGCATTTAATGATTTTAGATGTGACGCTTATTTTGCAACATCACAAAAGTGAAAAGATGACACTAATAACAGGATAGGGAGAGTAGACACGAGAAGATGATACATAAGCAGGTAAATCATGAAAAGCATCGCGATCCTAGTTGGGCTGTGGGAATCGTGGTTCAGCAACTGCAACGAGAGGTTTGGAAAGGAAGCCAGCATCCTCGCACTCTGCTAAATCGATTTGCGAATGACCAGGTGGAATCTTCCAGCTAAAGCATTGAAGAAGTCTGGCCAGCAACATCACAGTGAGCGTGGAACCCAAAAGGACTCCTGGACATCCACGCCTTCCGGTGCTGAAGGAAAACATAGTTAATTCTGGATCGTTGAGATCCATTCTAGCATCCTCCATATCCTTCATGTGGCGCTCAGGCTTGTACTTCAGCGGATCCTCCCAGATTCGAGGATTACGGCCAAGTCCTGGACGGCTGAGGATAACATGGCTACCTTTCGGGATGAGGTAGCCTCCAACGACGGTGTCCTGAGTAGATACATGAGGAACATTAAAGGGTGCTAATGGATGCAGCCGAAAGGACTCTTTTACGCAGGCCTTCACATATTTCAGCCTCGGAAGGTCAGATTCTTGAACAAGCCTATCCTTTCCAACCACGGCGTCTAGCTTTTCTGTGGCTTTTTGAAGCATTTCAGGTTGATTTAGCATCTCTGCTAATGCCCATTCCACAGCATTTGATGGATTATCGACTGTCGCAAACATTAATTCCTGTCGAGCATGCATCATAGTAAAGTTAAAAGTGAAAACTAATACTAATCCTTTTTAACCAAATTCAGTAACCAACTGACCGTACAACAACACCATATTTCAAGTTTCATTTTGGTGGTGATTAAGGCTCATTGAGATTCCATCCTTTTCTGAGTTCTGCTAATCAACAAATTTGGGCAAATTATTTTTTAATATTGTCAGAGCATGGCTGATGATGTCGTCTTAAGTCACCTTTTGTACGTCATTTGATGTGGACACGATTTACCTGAATGTTTCCACTGCTTTGAGTCTGCATGCAAGATTTTAAGTTTTGGAGTATGGTCCCTACGAATGATTTTGTACTTATGTGAAAAGGCACTAGTGTTGAATTCAAAACCTTGAATTCAAAGCCTCAATTGTTTACTTTTACAAGCCAACAATTGTTGAAATTGGTGGCTTAATTCTTAATCCCACATTGGTTGTTTTAGGAGTTGTAGGATTGCTTGAGAGCTATAAATAGCTCTCAAGCCTTCCAATTGAATTGTACCAAGAACAACAAAGAATTACCCATAAGGATTTTGTAATTCTTTGTATTCTTTCTTCTCTCCTAAATTATAAAAGCAGGTCGCTTGAGCGGTGTTCGGAGATCAGGCAAAATTGGCCGAACTCCGTTATTAATTTTTCGGGTGCGTTCTTTCCATATCTCTTTTATTTGTTCCGCATTTATTTAGTAGTTTCTTTTTCTGTTGTAATATAGTATTGAATATATTTGTCTATATTTGTCGGGTTTATTTGTAGTGTTTTATACGATTCATTTGGGTGTATTTTTCTTATTCGTGTGTACGTATTATTTATGTATACACGGGTATAGTTGTGATAATACACCGTGCACGTAAGTTCTATCTAGGAGACTGGGTTTTAAGTGAGACCGCTTGTGACCCCTCCAGCCTTTCCTGGGAATTTATTTGGAATGGTAATTCTGTCTAAGGAGATTGTTTCGACGATCTTTCCTGGGAATTATTGAATCGGTTTAATCACTAGTTATATTTTGAGTGGAAAATTACCCGATTTCCCCAACAAGTGGTATCAGAGTTGAAGGTTTGTCTTTTGGCTTGTTTGTAATTTGTTATATTGAATACTATCATTTGAGTCTGTAATGGCACACTACAAGAAAATTGCGTTTCTGTGACAGGCGAAAGTCGTCACTAAAAATTCAGAAGTCGTCACAAAAAAAGTCAGTGACGACTTTTACTACTGTCACAGAGCTGTCACTAGTTCTATGTCTCAAAAGGGGGTCCATGTGACGACTGTTGAAAGTCGTCACAAACGATTTCGCTTTTGTGATGACTCTTGTCATCACTCATTGTTGTACATTGTGTGACGACTTTTATTGTCACTAAACTGGCTAAATTCTTGTCGTAGTCAACCCTTGGAGTTGTCACATTATGCTTCCGTTCAGTGACGACTTTTGTTGTCATTGTTTTCTATCCATAAAAAGTGACGACTTTCTGGTGTCACTAGTAAAACTTGTTGGCAGTGACAACTTTTTATTGTCATTTATTTTTTTGTAAAAAGCAATAATCTAATGTTAATTAAGCAACATAGCTGCCAACAATCACAAAACGTTCATTGAGTAGCAAGGAGAAAAAAAAAAGCCAACATACGAAAAGAAAGCCAACATTCATTTCCAATAGAAGATCAACCCAAATACATATATATATAAATGTTGCCTCAAATGAGTCATAAACCATGCACCATCCAAAATAAGCCATTCAGTTACAATACTAGTGATTTTCCATCCACAATAGAGAGTAGTAAAGTTCTATACAAAAATATGAGCACGATTCCCATCTAGAACAAAACATGAGCACGATAGGCCTTGTAGTCTTCAATTCAAAAACCATCTTCACAGCAATGACTGGTTTCTTCTTCTTGGGAATCGTGTTAGAACCTACACGTTACCAAAATTGAAGCAATGAGCACTGGTGTTAAAACTGGAACTACACTTCTAGATAGGCACCATATTATAAAAACTAATGTCACTCTAATTTGAAATTATAGCAATCTAAGTAAATTACTTAACACAAAAATAAAGTGAAATTATAGCAAATAAGACATTGAATATATATTCTGTGAAATATAGAATAACAATACAAACACAATAAATATCTGCATGTTCACAAATATATATGCAATAACAATAACAATAACAACAATAAAATCCTAAAAACATTGAGAGCCTAGATGATCGTGAACCACACAGTATATCAAGAAAAAAAAACACACACACACACACACAATCACAGGTGCCTCTTTTTCCTTAGCACAAAAAAAAAATTCTGATACAGAAAAATTTAGATGAGTTCGACAAAGAAAAAAGTGGAATACATCCCAACATTTAAACACATTTGCTTTAAAAACACTAAAGTTTTGGTTGCAACATCCAGCACCTCAATGGCTGTAATCAAACATGAACAAGATTTCAAGCACCTAAATCAGCCTCAAGCAACTCAATTGCATTAAACAGGAATCAGATTTGGTGGAACCAGATTTCAAGTGCCATCAAGCAACTAAATTGACATCAAGCAACCCAATTGTATTAAAAATGAATCTCTATTTTGTAGAACCAGAATTCAAGTGCCTCAATTGTAATAACTATGAAGAGCAAACAATTTATTTATACCACAATATGCCAAAGTAAAGACCATATTCATACCTCTTGAACCAGCAATAAACAAAGCAGACTGAACAAAGAAAATCATGTACCCAGGATACAATCCCTGCGACACAACAGATACATTTAATTATGTAATGAGGTGATATTCAGATTATTTATTATCTAAAAAAAGGGGGGAAATGAAAGGTCATATGGCTAGTGGACATGTTGCGTCTCAAGGGAAGGGAGAAGTATTATCACCAAAATTGGGGTAACAAAGATGCATTTGCTTTCAGATGGCAATAATACAAAGGATAATGCAATTAGGAAGAAAATGACCTGGGGACTATTATCAAAGAATATAAGCATCAAACACAGGTCATCATAACAGCCCGAGATCAGAGCATCAAAGATATAAAGGAATGTGGAAACACATATTAAATACAAATATAAATTGAAAACATGCCTTCTTCTCTTTATTGCATTTGACAAAGTTTCCAGGATGTTAAACATGGTGATAATCAGGAAGCCAAGAACACAACCAAGACTTTATCCCATTCAATCTCACCCTTGTACATCAGCCCTTTACTTCTATTCTACCTTTTTTTGGTCATGCTCTTCCATAAGCAGCAAGACCACATATTAATTAAATTACTAACATTCCACTGTGGTTTTAGTCCATCTTTTCCTCCAGCCTGCAATTGTCGTCCTATAACTCTTTCCAACATTGCAACTTTTGATTATATGGAAACATCCGGATTTCCATATCAATTGGTTAAGTTATCTTCCAAAGATAACAACTATATTCTTTTCTTATATCACAATAAAATCAGTAAATAGGACCAAATGGATGGCACCAAAATGTGCTCCATGCAGCTCAAGAAACAACAACATATTGCATCGACCAATATTCCTGATTCAGGAAAGCCAAGTATATAGGCAAATCATAGAAGATGGCCAGCACAAGCAATCAAGTTTTATTTGCCAGTACCCTACAGAATCATGTTGTTGAAATTGTTAGCATGCACAGGTTATCAAAACTAATTAGACCATGCAAGAAAAATAAGTTGCCCTTGTTCGATTCAGCTTTTCTGAAGCTGATTAGAAAAGGTGATCATCCAAAAGGTGAACTCCAAAAATTTGGAATTACGTTTCACTTTTAAAATTTCTCCAACCTAAAAAGCTGTTTTCAAAACTAACTAGAAGACTGCTCCTCATAAATAGCCTTTCTGTATAAAATCGATTCTGTTACTCAGATGCTTTTAGCTTAAAAGAAACTATAATTAGCTGATTTTAAGAAACCAAGAAGAGAACCTGTATTTAGCTAATTAATATATATTTTACAATAAGGACCCATGCACCTGTTAGGAACATAAATGTTTAACTTCCATGAATACAACTACTACCAATTCCGATAGTGATATATGATCAGAAATATAATACTAAACTAATGAAACCATGTCTTCTCAAAAGAAAGGAAATGAAAGAAAAAAACTATAGCTCATACTTACATGCCATACAGCACTGACAGTTTGCGTAGCCAGCAACTGAAAGAAACCAGCTTTCTTACCATCCTGGACAAGCCGCTCATATACATCTAAAAAACAAAATGGAGATCAGGCACCAATGTTGCTTCTAGCTTTGCTTCCAAATTTGTGTAATACAAGATGGAAAGCATGACATGCATGATAATATGAGCTTATACATAGAGGAATTAGCTTACGAGATGGATATCAAGCTCATAAATTTGGTTCTTGCATCAGCGAGCAAAAGAGTAGTTCCTTAATACTTGTGACCTCTCCAGAGGTCTAATTACCATGGCCTTGAAAAGTTATGTTCACTTAAAATGTTGTTGCATTTAACTCTAGTAAGGAGGAAAATTAAGGCATTATATTCTTATCATTGATGAAGTTCCTTGACTCTCATAGATGGTATTGAAGCCGATAACATGAGGAACAAGAACAGTAATTTGCTCTCAAGCGAAGCAGATAGCTCAAATATCCAACTCAATTGCAGATGATAAGAGTGCATTTCTAAAATGTATCATTCAATCTCAACTAACCGGCTTGAAATTATTACAACTATATATATATGTTCGCTTCAAAAGTGGCCTTAAAGTTGATACTTTCTCCCATTTTGTAGAGCAAAGCATGTCATACCCTTCGGGGAAAAAAAAAATCTCACAATGTGTAGTTATTAGAAAGAAAGCTATGAAATTCAGAGGCAGTCCTGATATGCTAATCAGATTTACAAGTTCATCAACCAAAACTTGAGACAAGGATAGGGAAAGATAAAATGCAGCAATGAGCATTGAACGAATGCCCTGTTATGGCCTGCTGTTAGACCACTTGGGCATTTCAACAAACAGTAAACGAACATGAAAAATTCCAGCAATTCTTTGCTCAAATGAAGCCACGGTTGGCCCCAAAATCATCAGAAGTACAAGGGATTTCAAATTCAATCATGATATAACATGCGCATGCTAAAATTTGAACAATCAACGGGGCAATTTCAATAAACGAAGCCATGGCAGACATGCTTAGAGGACTTGGGAAGGAACTGAAATTCAAAGAAAAAGGGGTGACTTATAGTGCTCTTACTTGAGCGGTGGCGACGGCGATTATGACGAAGCCGAAGACGGTGAGTTGGAATTGGAAGATGACTAGGTCTGACTTCGTCCGAGAGCCTTCATCTAGTGTTACAGAGAACGGCAGCAGCCCAGGAGGTTGTGCGTGGTGTTGGCGATGGCAGACAGCAACAGAGCGGACGCGGACTGGTGGTGACCTGGTTCTTCCTCCTCTATCCGTTGCCGCGTCTTTCTCTCCTGATCTTCCCGTCAGCCGCCACTCTTCCTTCACTCAGTTTTTTTTTCTTTTCACGCTCAAGGCCTCCCTTCCAAGAACCCTAGCTGCTTCTCTGCTCTTCTGTTTCTCTTTTTCTCCTCTAAAACCTAGCCGCCCTTTCTCAAGCTTCCCCTTCAGCTTTTCTTGCTCACTTGTGCGCCGCCCTTTTTTTCTCCTCTATTTTGTTCTTTTTTTCTTGTTTTGTTCTTTTCCCTCTGTTTTGTTCTACTGCCAAAGCCCTCCTCTATTTTCCTTCACCTGAGCTGGTGCTAAAGAGCTCGACGCGGTTGCGGGTCAATAGAGGGGAGAAAGGGCTATCGTCAGTGGTGAAGGAAATGCTGAAGAATAAATTATGGTGCTGGATAGCTCGGACTTCAGCGGCTGATGGTGGTGGATTGCGGCGGACTTCAGCGGCTAACGGTGGCGAGCGGCATTTTGAATCTACGGGAAGGAAGGGTTAGTTCACCATAGGAAGGAAAGATTGAGAATGAAATTTGTCCAAGTGTTGGAAGAGAGAAGCGGCGAGACTTTTGTTTGTGTGTGAACAACCAAAACGACGTCGTTTTGTAGAGATTTCAGCCACCCGCCTCGCGCCTCTTTCAGATTTCAGACTGGCGCTCTTTTTTTTTGGCATCTAAGCACGTCTTTGAGATTCCAGGATTCACGCCTTTTGCTTCATACATCTTTTTTCTTTTTTTTTAGCCAATTTTTTTTTCAGGTTTCTTTTTTCATACTTAATCTCTTTTTTTTTCCTTAATCTCATCTATAAATATCAAATAAATTATTTGATATTGGTTTCTTTTTTGTGCATGTATATATATGTGTGCTTGTTTGTGTCTATATACATCTTTTTGGGTTTGGACAACTCAATATACAAATTATTTAAGAAATTACCTTACAATAAAACTTACACAATAAAACATGTTTCAAAATTTTAACATGCATAGAATCGCTTATATACAGTATAGCACTTCTTACTCATGCTTATCCTACTCTTTGTCTATTATTTAGTTTTTATAATAAATTAAAAGAAACATGTAATCAAATATTCTGTTAAATGTGTTACAACTCTCAATCTTATTGCACGACAGATATTTTACTGAATAATTTTAATTTCGTATATACCCATTCTATATGAAAATAATTATTACTTATGATGTATTACACGTTATACTAATCTTTCACAGTGCTAACATTAGACTACAAATTATATTCAATTACACTTTTTCAAATTATTTCAGTTATTGGTTTTTGGGGGTTGTTATAAGGAATAATAAACAATTCGTGAAAAAATTTTTATGCTCAGACATGTCTATTATGTCAACTTAGCAAAAATTACAAATATCTAAAAATAGTTTGTTATTATATCATTTGCATTTTGCTAATACGTAATGAATAGGGGCTAAATTATAAAATTAGGGTGTCATATCTTCGGTGCTTTTGCTCATATAAAAGAATTGGGGGCTAAATAATAAAATTAGGGTGCCATAGTAAAATTAGTGAAATTTGATGAAAATACTATAGAATTACTTATATACAGTATAACACTTCTTACTCATACTTATCCTACTCTTTGTCTATTACTTAGTTTTTATAATAAATTAAAAGAAACATATAATCAAATATTCTGTTAAATGTGTTACAACTCTCAATCTTATTGCACGACAGATATTTTACTGAATAATTTTAATTTCGTATATACCCATTCCATATGAAAATAATTATTACTTATGATGTATTACACGTTATACTAATCTTTCACAGTGCTAACATTAGACTACAAATTATATTCAATTACATTTTTCAAATTATTTCAGTTATTGATTTTTGGGGGTTGTTATAAGGAATAATAAACAATTCGTGAAAAAATTTTTATGCTCAGACATGTCTATTATGTCAACTTAGCAAAAATTACAAATATCTAAAAATAGTTTGTTATTATATCATTTGCATTTTGCTAATACGTAATGAATAGGGGCTAAATTATAAAATTAGGGTGTCATATCTTCGGTGCTTTTGCTAATATAAAAGAATTGGGGGCTAAATAATAAAATTAGGGTGCCATAGTAAAATTAGTGAAATTTGATGAAAATACTATAGAATTGCTTATATACAGTATAGCACTTCTTACTCATGCTTATCCTACTCTTTGTCTATTACTTAGTTTTTATAATAAATTAAAAGAAACATGTAATCAAATATTCTATTAAATGTGTTACAACTCTCAATCTTATTGCACGACAGATATTTTACTGAATAATTTTAATTTCGTATATACCCATTCCATATGAAAATAATTATTACTTATGATGTATTACACGTTATACTAATCTTTCACAGTGCTAACATTAGACTACAAATTATATTCAATTACATTTTTTCAAATTATTTCAGTTATTGATTTTTGGGGGTTGTTATAAGGAATAATAAACAATTCGTGAAAAAATTTTTATGCTCAGACATGTCTATTATGTCAACTTAGCAAAAATTACAAATATCTAAAAATAGTTTGTTAGTATATCATTTGCATTTTGCTAATACGTAATGAATAGGGGCTAAATTATAAAATTAGGGTGTCATATCTTCGGTGCTTTTGCTAATATAAAAGAATTGGGGGCTAAAAAATAAAATTAGGGTGTCATAGTAGAATTAGTGAAAGTTGATGAAAATACTGTAGTATACAGTGATGCAAAAAGTTGTCACAAAATTGGAATCTGGTAGACTTTCAATGACAACAAGTTATGTTGTCACTGTAGAGAGAGCATTTGTGACGACTTTACTTGAGTTGTCATAAATTCATTTCCCACGGCATCAAATGAGATGCACGCCAACTATTTCGTGACGAGTTGAGAATGACAACTTCCAATGTTGTCACTGATTATGCTTGTGCTGTACTCATCTGTGATGACATCTAATGTCGTCACTGAATTAGGTTATCTGTGACAAGATTTTTGTTGTCACATAAATTTTTGTCACTGAAAAATATATTTCTTGTAGTGTCCCCATTCCTATCTTTGAGCAGATCTACCATTTGTTTACAATCAGATTGGATTTCCACTTTGTTCCACCCACACTGTTTAGCCTTGACGACAGCTTTCCTGATGGCTAAGGCCACCTCCACTGCCGGGATGCCATTCCTTCGTTCACCTCCTGCCCAAGCTCCTACTACCGTGCCATCCTCTTTCCTGGCCACAACTCCCCAACCTATTCTACCTTCTTTAACCTCCAAGGCTGCATCAGTATTTAGTTTGACAACCCCCTGTAGGGGTGGAACCCATTTACTACTCTCATCCACCTGTGTTTTCCTTTGTTCCGCAACCATTCCCTCCCCATTTCTCACTTCTTGATACTCAGACCACTCATTAACAGCTTTACTGACTATTCTTCTGGGACAGTTCCTTTCCTCATTAAACTGCACTTTAGTTTCTGGATTTCCTTTGTTAAAGCAATGTGGCTCCGTCCTCCTATTCTGTTCTGCACCTCCATCAGGCTATTCCACCAATGCCAGAAACTGTGCCTGTACTCCTTTAGACCATCCCAATCAATTGGAGCTTCCTTCCATATAAGCTCTGCATGACTACAAAAGAAAAACAAGTGCTCCAATGTTTCTGTCATCTCCCCACAACACCTGCACCTATCCTCTCCTATACCTATCCTACTCCTGATCACCTCATTGACTGGCAGCCCCATGCAAGCACTTCCAGAGAAAGTGTTTTAGTTTGTATTTTATGTCTAAGTTCCATAGCACCTTCCATACATTAGAGTGACATGTATTTCTGCTATTACTGGCTTCTTGTTGTTCCTTCCTCCTCCATTCCCTTCTCATATCTCTAGCCAGCATATACCTAGTCTTAACTGAATACTGTCCAGATTTAGTCCATGGCCACACCAGCTTATCCTTCCCTCCACATAGGCTGATAGGGATTACTTCAATCTTCTTGCAATCCTCCTTACTGAGCATAGATTCCATCACTGCTATGTTCCACTTTCCATCTTGGATCAGTTCATGAACTTTCTGGACAGGACAATCTGCTGGCTTTGGAGAGGCCACCATACCTGACCCTCCATCTGGTAACCACCTATCCTTCCAGATATCCACTGTTCTACCATCCCCCACCCTCTTCCTAGCTCCTATCTCCAGTATCTCCCTTGCACTTAAAAGGCTCTTCCATATCCAAGAGTCTCTTGCCCTAACCTGTGTCTGCCAAATGGATTCCCCCTTAAAATATTTCTCCCTCAACACCTTACTCATCAGCAAGTTAGGCTATGTCAGAATCCTCCACAGCATCTTAGCCAACATGGCACTATTGAAATCCTGCAAATCTCTGAAACCTAAACCCCCTTTCCCTTTAACTGTAGCCAACTTCCCCCATTCCACCCAGTGAGTCTTCCTCCTCCCTTCACTCTCCCCCCACCAAAACCTTGCCATTTCTCTACACATTTCTTGACATAAGCTCTTAGGCAACCTACAACAGTTCATAGCATATGCAGGCATAGCTACTATTATAGACTTCAACAGGACCTCCTTCCCAGCTTGGCTCAACAATTTTTCTTTCCAGTCTTTAAGTTTCTCCAACACCCTGACCTTAATATAGTTGAAAACCTGTCTTTTGGATTTGCCAATAACCATAGGTAGCCCCAGATGCCTGCTCTGATCCACCTGTTTCATCCCCCCAGTAAGCCTAAAATCTCTGCCTTCTTACTCTCATCTGTATTCTTACTAAAGAATACAGAAGATTTATCAGTATTAATCTTCTGCCCAGATGCTGTTTCATAAATCTCCAAGATTCTCATCACCTGTCTTGCCTCTTTCAAACTGGCTCTACAAAATAGGAGAGTATCATCTGCAAAAAATAAGTGTGAAATAGCAGGGCTATCTTTGGCAATCTTTAAGCCTGACAAGCAATGATTGTTAACTGCCTGCTTTAACAGGCAGGACAGTCCTTCAGACACAAGCACAAATAGGTATGGGGATAATGGATCCCCTTGCCTAATTCCTCTAGATGGCCTAACCATACCCTTCTTTTTACCGTTTACATTAAAAGAGTACACAACAGATGACATGCATTTAAAAATCCTGTTTATCCAAAGCTGGCAAAATCCCATTTTCTCCAGTATTTTGACCGCAAAAGGCCATTCTACCCTGTCATAGGCTTTTGCCATATCTAGTTTCAGAGCCATAAACTCATTAGATCATGTTCTTCTTTGTTTTAAGCAATGAATACTTTCATGCGCAATCACAATATTATCAATTATTTGCCTGCAGGAATAAAAGCTGACTGATTACTACTAATGCAGTGCTTAAGGAAAGGTTTTAACCTATTCACAAGTACCTTAGAAATAATTCTATATACTACATTGCAAAGGCTGATAGGTCTATATTGGGACACAGAAATGGGAGAGCCAACTTTAGGGATCAAAGTGATGATAGTCTTATTAATAGCTTTCAGTAAATGACCAGAATAAAAGAAGCTAGAGATGGCAGCTATCAGATCAGTTTTAATGATATCCCAAAAATGCTGAAAAAAGAAAGGTGTCATACCATCAGGTCCAGGGGCTTTATTGGGATGTAACTGCTTTCCTGACTTCCATCTCAGAGACTGGTCTGGTGAGCTTGTTGTTCATCTGTCCTGTGATCACCTGGGGAATGCCATTGAGTATTGCATCAAATTGCCTTGGATTAGTAGAAGTGAAAAGTTTCCTAAAATACCCATTGATCTCCCCTTCAACCTCTCCCTCAGACTTGCACCAAGTACCATCCTCTCTTTGCAGGGAAGATATATTGTTCCTCCTCCTTCTCCCCGCAACCACAATATGGAAATACTTGGTGTTTCTATCTCCCTCTTTCAACCATTGCACTCTAGCCTTTTGCCCCCAGTAAGCTTCCTCTTTCTTGTAAGCCTCAGTAAGCTGTCTCTTAAGAGCACTCAATCTCCCTTTTTTATCTGCCTACTGTCCTATATGAACCTCTGCTATTTCCTTTTTGATCCTGCTGATCCGTGTTTTAGCATTGGCTTTACACTGCCTGTTCCATTGTAGCAATGCCATTTTACACTCTTTAATTCTCTGTTTTAACTTGAACCCCTGGACCCCATCTGTTGTTTATCTCAAGCTGTTGAGATAATATTCTTTACTTCCCTATGCTGCACCCAATTCTTATCAAAGTAGAATCTCTTTTTCCATTTCTTATTCTTTGGCTCAGTATCCAGCAACAACATACAATGGTCAGAGGCCTCATTTTGAATGTGCACACACTTAGCTCTACCATGATCTCTACTCCAGTCCCTACTACACAGGATCCTATCAAGCCTTTCCCTAACCTCACCCTCCTCATCCCAATTGTTACACCAAGTCCAGGGAATCCCTTCAAATCCAATATCTATCAGTTGATTATTATTGACAAAATTCCTAAAGATTCTAAAACTTCTATCACTCCTCTGCTTCCTTCCCCATTTTTCCCCACTGGACAGCAGATCATTCATGTTACCTGCTAAGATCCAATTCCTACCCCATATATTAGTTCTATGTTCTATGGTTTTCCATTGTTGCTCTCTGAGCTGATCACTACTACTAGCATATATCCCAACAAACCACCAATCCTCCTCAGTACCTTTCCCTTCCACATTCCATTCTATTGTAAAATCAGTGAAAAGAACTCTTTTAACTTCTAAGTCCTTCCTCCATATTACAGCCAGACCTCCAGCTCTACCTATAGGGTCAACAACAAACAGACTATCATATCTCAGTCTCATCCTAATCTTATTCATAACAAATTTTTTGTTTTTAGTTTCAGCTAAAAAGACTAACTCAGGGGAGTGGAGTCTCACAACCTCCTCAAGTTGGGAAACTGTCAAGGGGCTCCCAGAACCTCGACAGTTCCACACCACAGCTCTCATTGAGGGCTGGGAGCCCCATTAAGGTTGGGCTCCACCACCTTCAGAAAACACTCCCTGTCAACCTCCCCTTCCATCCCCTTCAATTTTTTCTGATCTCCTCCCATTGGCTCCCCACAGTTCTCTTTTCCAAGAGCATCACCCTGCTTCCTCTTACCAGACTCCTCTATCTCCATACCAGAATTTTTCTCTCCCAATGGCACTCTCCTCCCAACTTCCTGAACCAATCTTCTCCACCCCCTACTACCCTTGTATTTCCCAGAACGCTTACTCTTACCCATGCTTTCAGCTGCCTGATTTTTTCCCTTCTCTCTCCCCCTACCCCTACCCAATTTTTCCTCTTCTTGACCCCCATCAAGCCACATGTTATCATCCTCCACCTTCTCAGTCTGGTCCAAACTCCCCTCCCCAAAACTCTGTTCCCCTTTCTCTTCTATCTTGGGTCCAGCTATCTCCCCACCCAAGCTTAGTTGGGTTTCAGCCCCCTTAGTCTTCTCAGCTAGCCCTACCTCCCCTTTACTACCACTACTTATTATATTGCCAGTATTTGCTACACCCTCCTTCCCATTCCAGCTGGTTTCACTACCCCCCTATGGCAAGAGTAGATTATTACCCTCATTCTCCTTGCCAAAATCCCTCTGAGACTCCCCAGCCCTCTCTCCATAATTTGAATAGCTTTTATTCTATTTTTTGGGATTCTAGAATTACTAGCTCGCATCCAAGCTCCAAATTGTGTTTCTTTGTCCAGGTAGTTTCCTTTAATCCTACAATTTTTCTCATTATGTCCCAATAGTCCACAACAATAACAGAAATCAGGACACTTCTCATACCTAAACTCAATCCATTTCGCATTACCGTTCATCCTAACCGTAGTTCCCCTCAACAGTGGTTTCTCAATATCAACTTCCACTAAAATCTTAATATGTTTCCCTTCTTTCCCCCGCCATTTGGAAGAATAACCTCTTTAACTGAGTCAAAAACTCCTCCAATCTTACGACTTATCTCTTTAGTTATCCAATGGATTGGAAGGTTCCAGATCTGCACCCAAATCCAAGTTTTACTAAAAGCCATACCATCTATCTCTATTCCCTCCCTCCACGAAATCACAACCAATGGTGAATTATCATAAACCCACGGCCTCCCATTCAGAACTCTGTCCATATCATTTTGGTTCATGAAAAGAAATTGAAACAGATTCACACCAATTTCTACCACCTTCACATTCTTAGCAAAAATCCATATATTACTGGTAAAACTCTTAATACCTGCGATATTTGCCACCTTCTCACCAATCACTTTGCCAATGATGCTCATTCTGCATTCCGCCACTCCCTGGAGAATATCATCCGCCTCAATTTGAATTCCTACCTCCTCCTTCTCCGAGAGATCAAATTTTCTCATTACTTCCTCAAGCTCCTCAGCCACTGCTGCAATACTCAAGAACTCCTCACTGATGACCACAGGATGATGAGCTACTGCACACCAGTTCCAAGAGGAAATCTGGAGAGCACAAAGAGAGCAGTTAACAGCCAAGTTTAGCAGATTATGAAAAGGAATACTACCACTAGATCCTAACAACGAAGACAGCAGCAAGGAACACAGCTGGAATAACGATGAAAGTAAGGAAAACAACTGAAAAAAAAAACTATGAATCTGGATCTAACACCAGCTCTATTAAGATTGGGTAGCTAGCTCTATTCATCAGTTGAACAGATCCAGCTGACCAAATCTTCACGAAGAAAGTACACAAAAGATGCAGACCAAATCCATATTCTATGTGTTAACTTCAGAAATGCATTCATTGTTTATCAAAGCTAGACGATCAAATGAATCTATGGCTCAGAATGTGGGGAAAACGAAATGTAAAAGTACGGGAAATTGAACTTGAAGGCGGCAAAGTTCAAACCACCCACTAGGGGAGAGATCTCAACTAGAGAGAGAAAGGAACTCTCATAGAGAGAGAAAATAATGTGAAATGGAGATTCACTTCGAAAAATTTCTAAAAAGTTGGATAACTAAAGTTCTCCTTTTATTTAACATGAACCATATGTAGTTTAAAGGTGAGCTAATTATATTTCAGTTCTATTTTATTAAGTTACAAATTAAATGGGTTTGCTTAATCTCCTTTATTTATTACAAAAAATGTAGTCTATTTGGGTTTTATCAGTGGATCTAAAAAAACTGATATAGATCTAAGAACTGGCATAGACATCTAATTTTTGCATTTGTTTTTTATGTATATAGCAATAAAAAGAATGGTTTTCCTTACACTCAATGTCTAGATTAATTAAGTGAAAAAATAGATCTGAAAATGGAAATGGGTATAATAATTTATGTATTAGTTTTTTAAGTGTATGGTTCATAGATTATTGACGGGTATTTTTACATACATGCAAGTTAAAAAACCGAATTACACCCGTTCACTGCAAGTATACAGATCAACTAGTAGTTTAGGGTATATATCGGGTCGATCCCACAAGGAAGAGTGAACAATTACCGGTATTACTAAAGCTTCTCTATTATTTAGACTATCAACGAATTATAGCAAATTAAAACCTATTGAAATTATACAAGAAAATAGCAAATAAAAGCTCCTTAGGTTGTGGCATCCCTAACTACTCATGCAAGTGCTATATTTGGATCATTTAGTACTACATCTAGGCTAGTTATAGTGTAATTTCCTTAAACATGTGAAACCTACTTTCGTAGTGAATCAACTATACTCATAACTAATCCATACCTATTTTCATGGTTATGAAATTAGCTACAAGTTCAT